ATCAATTCACTTGGCAGCTGCATCAGCAATGATGGGTACATAGCTACTGAAGTCAGCTCACGTATTGCAAAAGCCAGCATTGCCTTTTTGAATCTGTGACATCTGGAGCCAGAAAGGGATTTCCCTCCGTTTGATAGACCAGGTTTACAAGGCCACCGCGACCGCCCTCATACTGTGTGGGTGTGAGACTTGGCCCCTTCGGTCTGAAGGTCTGAAGCGCGTTCAAGTATTTGCTCATCGCTGTCTGTGGAGCATTGCTGGTGTCGGGTGGCGCCAGCATGTCCGCAACGATGACGTGCATAGGCGAGTGCTAGGCGATGATACACAAACTAGTTCCTCATAACAACAGGTAGCACTAAATAAGTTGCGTCGGCTTTGGCTCGTACTATATATTCCCGGTCATCGTTTACCTAGCAGGACCTTGTTTTGTTTGCCAGATGTAGGGTGGCGCAAGGCTCGAGGTGGATAAAAGTTGACTTGGAAGCGGGAAAGGAAGTCACTGACGACCAAACTTGGTTTCCTCGGTCCATCTCGCCTTCCAGGCGGAAGTCCACATGACTCGCCTTGTGTTTGGCTCGAGACTTTACAGGGCATGGCTCACAGTCAACACCAGTGGCTCGTCTGCTGACGTCTCCTCGTCGAACTGTCTGTGTACATTTACTTTGGTCTGAGTTCTCTGCGAGGTAGTGGCTGATTATGACGCGAGGCAGTGAAAACCGCAAGGACGCTGTTTCACTGATGCCGCTTTATTTTTGCACCATAGCTAGCTGTTCGTGGCGGTATGTTGTTGACAAAATGTAGGCGCCTTAACCGTGAATGTTTGCTTAGGGTTTTCAGGCAAATCCCCCTTCTCTCCCTCCTATTATTCTTCGTTCCCTAAGTCCCTGCGGTTGTACTGCAGCAAAACCTTAGTTCAAATGGATGATGTACTGCTGTTGTTGTTGTTGATGATAATGATGCTAGATGCAAGAAACCAAACGCATGAACGCCACTAACTGCGCAACAGCGCCACCTTCGATCGGTTCTCCAACCAGTGGTATGGACTATCCCGAGGCCTCCATCCACTAATAATGCACACACAAGTGTTACCAAGTTTCTCAGTCAATTTTTGCCTGCCACTTCGCAGTTTCGCCCAACTTGGTGCAGCGATCGTTCATAATGCACACCGTGAAAGGCCATTAACGGACCTGCGGAGGACATCACCTAGCCAGCGTAAGCGGTTAGAATTCAGCAAACACTCGAGTGAGTCACCAGAGCGCTTTTTGCCGAAAGCCAACTGTCGGATCTCAGTATTGCTCACCCGGTCTTAGCATCAGATGTCACACACACACACACACACACACACACACACACACACACACACACACACACACACACTATACACGTTAGCTGGAGGTGGGAAACACCTCAAATGTCAGCAATACTACGCGAGCACGAGTAATCAGACACGGCCAGTCGCTTAACATCTTCGGTGCGAACTGTACATTTTTGTCAACAGAAGAGTTACGATAACCGTATTCTTTGTTTTACGCTTATGAGATGAGAGTAACGATGAAAATCATCCTTCATACTCTCCGAACTGCAGTCAATGTGGGCAGTTACAAAAGCGATGAAAACGCACCTAGTCTTCCGATGATGCTTATTAACCCCAATAGAGCTTTGAAGTTGGATAGCACACATGCGGCTGTAGGATTGTATTCTGTCGAGTAGATTGCCTTTAACACGTTTGCTGAGGACAGTACCGAGAACATAACTCGTTTGAACCATGGCCTCAGCATCGCCAGAGACGCGACGAGTGTAGTCATTGTTGGCAGATTCGGAACCAGGGAGTCGAAGGTTCGTTCTGATGCTGTTATCTTGTATGTGTTTCAGAAACAGCGCACATCATTATCAAGAAAGTGAAGAGTGAGAGTCAGTGATTTCTGTTGACCGGTCTGATGCGTTGTGTTAACGTCCAAAGGACCAGTTTGTAACGAGACATTTGGTTTTATGGACGAGTGATATGTATCAATGGTAGCAGCTGCAAGGTCTGCGTCAGTCTCATGCAGTTAACAGAAAAACAAGTAGTGGAGGGTGTATTGTCAACGGGATTGAGTGGTTAGATGATGCTATCCGGCTGCCTATTCCGAAAGAGAGGTTTCGTTCAAGGGACCCTACCTCTGAACTGACGTTGTCCGCTTGGTTTAACATGAACTTTCCGGGTGAACCGGAGTGACAACCTACGATTGCGTGAGTTTAAACTAGAAGACAAGTGACCACCGAAGCAAGAAGTGGGGGTCAAGATTTGGGGATGGAAAACATTGAGGATACAAGTGAAGTTATAACGGTACGATAAGGATGAAAAAGCGTAAGAAAGAGGAGTAAGAGACGGAGGCCTGAGCATCAGCACATTCACCGGTATCCGCCCCACTCGACGCAGATCAGAGCATCAAGAGAGTACCAAGTTCATTGTATTGCGTGGGCAAGGTACTGTCAGATTGCCCGCGCCTAGTCAGATGACGATTAGGGTTCTCAATCAAAGCCTCTGATTTAAAATCCTGACCGCAAAGCTGCGGGATTTTGGCACTGGGCTGCACAGGGTCCATTCTAAGGAGTAACCTTCACTTCATCCACCGACTTGGAGGGCCAGGAAACTGAGTTTATCTAGTCTCTAAGCATTGATGATTTTGATATAAGTGACTCTAATGGTTCAAGTATGTTACGGGAGCGTCAAGTGATTGCGCAAACGTACGTAACCCGCTTCAAAAAATCCAATACTCGCATAGGATACTCCGCACAATGCTCGCAATCTGACCACACAGCCTTTAAACTACAATGTAACATGTTTTTGTGAGCAGTCTCGTCCAGCGTAGTGAGTCATTTGTACTATGGATAAGAGGGTGTTCTGCTCCGTGATTCGTTCATCTCGCGTGAGTGCACTGCTCTGTTGAAAGGGTTTCCGTTCATCGTCTATACGGCGGCCAGTTTTCGCGAGGACGTAATCGACCTGGATTGCGCAATCATCCATTCGATGCTTGGAAACGACACTAAGCGTCCTCGTTGGACTCGTCTGACGAATGGAGGCTGTGTTAGTGGTTCGTCCCAGCAGCTCACAAGCCAAATAGTCTAACTGCCAATCCGGAAAAGCACAAGACGATCTTTCCGACCTATTGGCGGTCGTCAATGATGCGCGTTCCTCCGGTCCGCCGCTATGA